CTTCAGGTCTTCAAGGCTTCAGGTCGTCAGAAGGCTTCAGGTCGTCAGAAGGCTTCAGGTCTTCAAGGCTTCAGGTCTTCAAGGCTTCAGGCCGTCAGAAGGCTTCAGGTCTTCAAGGCTTCAGGTCTTCACGGCTTCAGGTCGTCGCCTGGCGTCAGGTCTTCAAGGCTTCAGGTCGTCAGCAGGACTTCAGGTCTCAGATCAATCGACTGTAGCGCCGACCGCTAGGCGAAGACATTCAATCCTGTATGGCCATGGCGCTTCGCGCTGGCTAGTTTATGACTATATATGTTTGAGAAGACTGTTTCTTGCGGTCTACTACTCATGCTCATGCTTTCAAGCTTTTTTTTATCGGAGCTTGTCAGCCCTACCATGGCAGAAACTCACAAGATCGGAATCCGCAGGTCATGCGTTTGGAGCTTGTACGCCGCGTGGGTTCTTTTGTTGCAGCTGTTGTCGCTTGTTTTTCAAGAAGAAGTAAAGCGTTCAGACGCTGTTGCGGCAAAGAACAAACTTACAATTCTTTCTCAAGGCTACGACAGTACCACCTTCTTCGCCTGCGCCCACTATAGCTCCCTCAGAGCGATCACGTGTTCATCACTAGAAGATGCAATGCGCCAGGCAGCTTTGGAGGTCAGGAAGACGTAAGATATTCTCAGGTTGCGGCAAAAAATATTTACAATTTTCTCAAGGCTACGACAGTACCGCATTCTTGGCCTGTGCCCACTAGATCCTTAAGAGTGATGACATGTTCATCAATACAACATGCAATGCACCACGCAGCTTTGGAGGCCAGGAAGACACAAGATAGTCTCAGGTTGCGGTAAAGCATAAATTTAAAATTCTTTCTCAAGGATACGACAGTACCACCTTCTTGGCCCGCGCCCACTAGCTCCTTCAGAGCGATCACATGTTCAGCACTAGAACTTGTAATGCACCAGGCAGCGTTGGATATCCTCTTTTACATGGCTTCTATGCGAACATGCGTCCACAAGGCGTCGCTCTCAACTTGCACTGTGTTCAAAACAAAGCTCGTATATGCAGGAATTAACGTTGCCTTGCCCATGGTTTTTGCTCCGTGTTTCTCCCAGTAAAGGTCATTGTGCAGTTTACAGGCGTCATACCTGTCCTGGAGTTTGGTGGCCTGCCAGCCGCAAAGATAGTGGTCTGCGACCATTGAAAACAAAAGGATGCAAGGGGAGTGAGCACAGAAATCTCAACTACACTCGTGTGCTCGCATGTACTGTGCGCTATCAGAGTAAGGCTCTCCTGTGTAAATTTTCCATAGTGGACACTGCCGTGTACACCAAACAGATCGGTCGCTAAGAACTGTTGTTGTTATGGCAGCCAGCTGTAGTCCTAGCTCCGGCCGAGAGCCACCGAAACCGAAACAAAGTAACGACAGAAAGGCCGCAGAAGAAGATGCGCGCGACGAAGAAAACAATGCTACCAAGACATTCAAAGAAGC